CGGCCGCCCCCCGCGGGGGTTCCCCGGGGGGGGGGCTGGGTAACGGCTCCCGACCTCTGGAAGTTAAATGGAGTGCACGAGGGCTCCCATCATTGCTCTGGCTGCTGGGGGTTGCAATCCGGCGCCCCTGGAAGGCACCAATAACGTGGAGAGCGCGAAGCCAGCTCAGGGCCCGCCCGGCCCCGCTACAACCCCCCCGCCCCCGCGTCTCTGGGCGGCTCCGCCGGGAAACTGCCCTTCCTTCCACTCCTCCCATCCTCGGCTCAGGCTTGGCTTCGAGCGAGGCGCCCGCCGGGCCCGCGCGCACACGCCCCAGTTCGCCCCCCGAGCAGCGGGCGCTTCCCGTGCCGGGGCCCCCAGGCGTGGACGCGGCCCGTGGGCGAAGGCGGGCCCTGGGAAGGGGCGCCTGCTCGCCTTCGCTCCCGGCTTGCCGCCCTTAAGCCGGACTTGGGGTCAGGGTGGCCGCGCTGCCGCGGGCGGGGACCGCGGGGCGCCTCCGGTCCCCCGGGAGAAGGTGCGGGGGCGGGGAGGAGGGCAGCCTGGGGGAGGCGCGGATGGGGCTGGCGCTCCGGATGCGCGGGCTCCGGGGAGATCGCTCCCCGCGTCCTCGCAGCCGGGAGCGCGCGTCTGCGTGGGCAGCGGCGCCGCGCACGCGTCGGTGCTCGCGCGCCCTGAAAGCGTTGTGCGCCCGCCCGCCCGCCCCCCGGGGAAGGAGGGCTGCTGTGGGGGCGCGCGAAGCCGGTGGGGCCGACCCTGCCCGGCAGCTGCGTCTTCCGCGGCCTGGGCCAGGGATTCCCCCCCCGCCCTGCCGGGGTGCGGCCTGGCCAGCACGGGGGGCTCCGCCACCGAGCTGCACGCCTCCTGCAGCAGGGTCGGAAGACAGCGCCACATGGGTGGTGTTGTGATCCCTGGGAACCTCGCAACCCCCCCCCCCCCGGCCTCCACACCAGGGCCCGGAGGCAAGAAGCCACGTGGGCCCGGGAGGAATTCCTGAAGGGGTCAGAGGCTGGCTGGGATGGGTCGGGGGTCCCAGAGAGAGGAGGCTGCAAATTGGGGGGGGGCAGTCCGCCTGCTCCTCCTCCTCAGAATGGTGCCACAGAGACTGAGTGGCCCTCTGACGCCCCATTTTGTTCGAAGACGTACATTGGCGCCTTTCAGAGTGGTTCCCCCATGTGTGGAATTGTTCTGTTTTTCACAAAGAGGGCCCCATGTTCAAACATGCACGTTCTTTCCCCCGCGTATCCACCCTGGCAGTTTGAAATGGTGTAGCCCAGGGTGTTTCCAGCATATTCTTTCTGGGTTGTACCACTTCTGCCTGGGTGGAGAGCAGACTTGTACCATTTCAGGCTGTGGGGGGGTACATTTTTTAATTATCCCTTTGTAGGTGAAAAATAAAAAATGTGTTTGGAAGTGGAATGTTAGCATGGTGGAGAGCAGAACATTCTCCCACAGAGTGATAGTTTTGTTGCTTTTACTTAAATGGTTCTTGTTGAAGCATTCGGAATAGGATGCCTTCCCATCTGTGGTCTGAAGTGGGACATTCCATGGCCTCATCCTGCAGCCTGCTATTTTGCACTAAGAAATGGGGAGCCCCGCTCTGGGTCCCCTCCTCTGTCCCACTGAGGCCGAGCTGCTCATGTTCGCTTCTGCTCCTCCAGGTGGATGAGAATCCGACCATGGCCGCCCAGTTTGCAAAGCATCTGGCCACCTTGAAGGAGAAAGTGAATTTCAGTTTGGTGCTGTTCTCCTGCCATATCCGCAAGGTGAGGATCTAGCCGCACAAACGCACTGCCCTCTCAGTCCTTCTTGCCTCGACACTAATAGTATCTGCGAAAGGGAGTCCTGGGAACTATACATCTCTGGCACGGGTGCCCTGGGAAATGAAACTCCAGAGGGGAGCCTTGGAAACTGCAAATTTCGCAGCAGGACCCCTGGGAACCACAAATCTCATCACATCCTCGTCTCCAGGATCCTTCTGAGAAAACTGGCACCCCTCTTATGTAGCATGATATGCACCATCAAAGGTTTCCTCGGAATGTTTATCTTTTCGAATTCCTGTTTTTAATCCCTAGTCCTTCTGTGCTAGAGAACGAACCATGATTTGATACGTGTAAATGTTTGTGCTGCAATGAAGCATCACAGATCCCTGCTCTTATCCCCAGAAATTCAAGAGCCTTCTTCCTGGTATCCCATTCCTTTGGGCTGCTTCCCAGCGTGCCTGAGAGGGTGCATTTCTCAAAGGGGTCCTTGCTCAAAGGGGTGCATGCCAGCACTTGACGAGCGCTTCAATTGTGTTCTGCCACGTGCTGAAAAATAATTCCTCAGTGCCCGGCCTGGGGATACAGATAACCAGTTTAATCGAATTGTTGCAGGTGTTCTATCGGTGCTGAAGTGGGTCATTTAAAAATATTCCATGCATGGTATCTTGCTCCCAGGAGGGTAAAACGGACCCTCGTCGGGTCGTACGATCCCTTCTCTCCTTTGATGAGTGTGAAGAGCTCCAGAGCACGGCTTGTTCCTCTCCTCCTCCATGAGGCACCCCACGGCCCCCAGGCCCATGTGGGGTCAGGGCCCTTGCGTGGCTTGGACTTCTTCTGCAAACGATCCCAGCAAAGGGGAGGCCCAGCTCCAAAAGGGGAAGGTTCCTTGGATGCTTGATCCATTATGGTGGCCACTGAAGAATCCAAAGGGGGCGCAGAACAAACTGGGAAGGAATTCTTCTGGACCTCAGTCCCACTTTCTGGGCTGAACTAGCACCCGAGTAGTGGTGAAACCCATGTGAGGAGAGAAGACTGGGCTAGCAAGAGACCAGTGAAAGCTGAAAGCTGCCACTGGCCACAGTTTTCTGCAGACACAGTTGGTTTGGCTGTACCCTTGTTGGAATTTGATATCGGCCTTCCCCTGGCTGAGCACTCATCAGATGTTTCCGACTGCAGCTCGCGTCATCCACAGCTATTGATGGTTGCATGCCAGTTGTCCAAGAGGTGGCTCAGCTGGGGAAATTTGTTTTATGGATCCTGCTTTGGAAGTTAGAGTGCAAAGCTAGTTTGGAAATAGGGAGGAGACGGAGTGTGGCCCACCATTTCCCATCTCTCCAGCTGAAACGGCCGGCCCCTCCTTCCTGGGGCTAAAGCCACCATATTGTTTCCTTTTATTCCCTCCTATGGACTTCCCATGATGCCTTGCAGGTGAACCGCTGTAACAAGAGCGCAGACCGAGCCATTCTCATCACAGACCAACACCTGTACAAGATGGATCCGAAGAAGCAGTACAAAGTGATGAGAGCCACCCCCCTGCGATTGGTAAGTGGGGCCTCCCAGGATTCTGGGGACCGCTCCCTGTGCTTGGTGCCGGCTGGCTGGCCGTTTCTCCTCCTGAGACATAGGGGGATGTTGTCTGAGCAGGGAGGTGAAGCCAGCTGCAGGCTGACGAGTCCGATAATGTGGCCTGTTCAACCCCTCTTGGAAGAGCGACCTGGACTGTTTAAGGGCTGAGTTTTGTAGCCTGAGACTTCCCTGGGGCCACAGAGATGGACGTTCTGTTGGAGTCTCTTTCTCTGAGGTGGAGGATGATGACAGAGCTGTGTTCTCTGGCAGGAAGAGCGCCAAATGAGGAACTAACGCAGTAACCTGTGCCTTGTCCTCAGAACATTGTGCTGCACACATCGTACTAGTAGTAGTACCATCAGCAGTAGTATTAATAGTTTACTTCTCTCCCACTCAATAGCTGAAGCTCTCTCAATGGTCTACAACAACATTCATGCCCCTCCTTTAAGGCTGCTCTCCCAGTTGTAGCTAATTCCATCCAGGTAATCTTGGCCATGCAAAACTACAAATGGCAGCACCTGAGACCATACCCCTGCAGCTGAATTGCCCATTTGAGGGGTTAGTCCCATAACTAAGGTCCATCCTTTGTCCCCGATCTCTCAGTCACAGTGACTGGGTTGCCCAAATGGCAGCTTTAAACATCAAAACACAGACACGCTCTTCATCAGTTTTATATGTATTGTTTATTTATTTATTAGAACATTTCTATGCCGCCCCTTGCCGAAGCCTCGGGGCGGCTTACAACACAATAAAATACAATAAAATACAAAAATAACAATATAAAATAAGTAAAAAATATAAAAGAAGTCGCCCTGGCCAGATAAATAAGCAAATATTGTTAACAATTAAAATGACATTTAAATAAAAAGGTCTTCACCTGGCGCCGAAAAACAAATAACGACGGCGCCAGGCGGACCTCTCTGGGGAGCACATTCCACAGATGGGGCGCCACCGCAGAGAAGGCCCTCCTCCGGGTACTCACCCTAATATCCTTCACGGAGCGTTCCCGGAGAAGGGCCTCTCCCACAGATCTCAAGGAGCGGGGGGGCATATACGGACGTAAGCGCTCGTTCAGGTAGCCAGGACCCAAGCCGTTTAGGGCTTTATAGGTCATAACCAACATCTTGAATTGGGCCCGGACTTCAATGGGAAGCCAGTGAAGCTGATGGAGGACTGGAGTTGTGGTTGCCCTGGAAGAATCATGAAACTAGTGCGATTTTCCGTGACCCTGCCAGGTGACGGGGGTGAGCGTGACCAGCGGAGAGGATCAGCTGGTGGTCTTCCACATGCAGAACAGCAGCAGCCTGGTGGCCTGTCTCCATAAGATGCACCCGACAAACGACAACCGGGTCGGAGAGCTGGTGGGCGTGCTGGTGGACCATTTCAGAAGGTGAGTCGTTCTTCAGTTAATTCTAAATCCGAGAAGCTAGCTAGGCACCATCTTCCTGGATCTTGACGTTCCTGCCAGAAGAGCCATGCTGGATGTTTTTTGGAAAGAAATCTGGGCACTTTGCAGTTTAATAAGTAAAGCGATTGCACTGGGAAAACAGGTTCTGGGACTGAGTCGCAGCTCAGGCAGGCCCTAACTCCATCTTTAAGGAGATGGAACACCTTTCTGTAAGCAGGGAAATTGTTGCTTTTTCACTAGGATTCCCCAATATCTTTGGGATGCATCTGTCCTTGGAGGCAGGGTCTTCCTCTTCTGCTTGTCCCAGGGGCTTACCTGATGGTGGATCGGGCCTGGCAGTCCCACGGTGACCTTTTTGGGGCATAACCCTCGCCTGTCTGGCCAGGAAAAAGCCGACCATTCTCCGGCCGGAAGCACTGCCTCATACCTATCACGTTTACCAGGGAGTAAACACCACCAATCTCATTTGGAAGCGCTTCCGCGTCGGTTTGCAGGGGATTGTCAGCACTCCGCCGAAATTGGGTCTTTTGCAAAAAGGCTTGCTCCGTTCTGGATTCTTGAGCTCCCTGTGTGTAAAGCGCCCCGGTCCTTGGGAAATTGCAGCAGATTTATTCCTGGATCTCTCACGGTCAAAATCCTGGCAAGCTTCCGGTTGTGAGAGCCGTGTGTGATTTGGCTTTTTGTTCCCGATGGTTTTGCAATGTTTGATTTATTTCTTAGTTTTATATCCCACCTTTTGTCTTTACAAAGAACTCAAAGCACTTACATAATTTTCTTCCTCCTGCTCTCAATCTTATCCCTGCAACAACAACCCTGCAAGGTAGGATGGACCGAGTGTCTGTGACTGGCCCAAAGGCGCCCAGTTAGCTCCACGGCTGAGTAAGGACTAGAACCCGGGTCACCTGAGTCCCAGTCCTAACCACTACACCACACTGCCTCTTGGCAGTATTGCTAATAAGGAATACTCCGGATAAACCGTCTTTAAGACACGCTTTGTGCTTTTCGTTCATTGATTTGCATTCGTTTGTTCCTTTGAATATATTTCAGCATTTATAAACTCTTCCACATCACATACTGGAAATGTTTGCATAAACAGCCCTTTGTTCTATCAAGGCTGTGACTTAAAGCAGAGGTGGGCAACCTTGGGCCATGTAAGGGCTATTTGCCCCCCTCCCCAGAATGCCCCCACAAACAGGCTGCCGTCCAGCTACCCCCATGAGTAACCGTGGCAGTGGGGTTAAAGTTTGCGGCCAATTTGCCTCTGATTTTTCAGCAGCAAGCCTCTATGAAGTGGTAGAGTAGCCCTAAAGAGCTGGCAAATTGGCCCCCCACACCCCACTTAAAGCCCCAAGGAAGATTCCCGGCTGCTCCGTGCTCAGCCCTTGAGATTCCAGCCTGTAATGGAAGGCCTTGGGGGTGAGGGGCTTCTTAATCCTCACTCCCCCACCCTTTTCTCACCAACTGTCCCTCCCAGCTGCAGAGAGGGGGCACATGCAGGAAGGCTCTATATCATGGTGGTAATTTTATTATTCCACATAGTTTTAACCCCCAAATGCCCTGTTGCCGTACTCCTTTAATGCACATGATTGCCGGCCGCACGAGCGAATGGCATTATAAAAACCCAGAGGGAAAGCCTGCCTGCAGTCAGCAGAGCCCCCTAAGAGAGCAGGGGGCAGGGTGTAATGACGGGAAGTGAAGGGGGCTCCCCCCGTGCCCCCCCACCACATTAATCCCCTCGTTGGGTATTGTGCATCGGAACGCAGGTTCAGGTTCGGTTCATCTCGCCCTCCAGCTGTCTCCGGTGCACCGCACAGCCCTGCGCTTGGGACAGATGGCCCCCCTCGTAGGGGGATTAGAGAGAGCCACTCTTGACCCCCTGCCCCCCCCCCAGACACTTGTGCGGATCCACCAGGAATGGGGAGGGGGAGGGCAGCGTCTGAGCTGGGATTAGAGCAGGGCGGAAGAACCGATGACCCAGAGACCAGCTCTTCCCCCACCAGCAGATCCCAGGCCAGGTCTGGGGGCAGCTCTCAGCCCCCCCAGCGATCGGACACGGCTGGAATCGGCATGCGGCGTGTGTCTGGCTTGGCGGTGCGCACGGCGCAACCAAGTCAGGCAGATCGGAAACGGAAAGGGATGCAAGAGGGTGCACGAAATGGCTCCTTTTCTAAATTATTATTTTAAAGAGCACGTGTGAGGGCGCAATAGAGATGTTTGGGTATATTCTGTCGACCTCGCCGGCCATGCAGACACGGAGAGACCCGCCTGTCCCAAGTGCCGTTTTCGGATGGCAGAGTATCCCGTTTATAATAGGAATAATGTTGTCACACAATCATACGTGTATCATTCTCCTACAAACTAAAATCCCCGTGCGTTCCAAAAGGGAGGACCTAAATCTGGCTTGTGCGGCCCCTTTTCCTGGGGCCTGTTCCCAGCCCAGCTGCTTGAATCCACTTCGCCCCCTCCGTCCCACGCCAGTGCCAGACCGGGCCCCAGGAGGCAAGGGCTCTTCGCCCCCTCCGGGGACCTGCCATGGCCTCATAGCAGAGTGAGGGGGGCATTGCCTGGACTGGGGGGGTTGCAAGGAGGAAGCGAAGGCCGTGGGTGGCGGCTGGTTACCTGCGCAACACAGTGAGTGCCCAGTTGCTAAGAAACGCACCTTGCCGCTATAGCAACACCGGAAGCTGCGCTGGGCCGAGTCAGACTTTGGTCCACGGAGCCCACTGTTGCCCACACGGACTTGGGGGCTGTTTCCTCGGGGCCCAGGAACCCAGGACCCTCGCGTGAGTCCAACACAACTGCTAGCCGCAGGGACTTTTTCGGTCTAAGCACGCTTGTGGGTGCCCTCTCAGAGCACGAACGATCGCAGCCAGCTCCCCAAAGTGCCTGGGGACCCACGTGGGCCGCTGTTGGGGTGATGCTGTGCACCCCATGATCCGCTGAGCATCCCAGCCCACCATCTGTACCAGCTGGTGCTTTCGGGGCTCTTCCTGGGCTGCCTCACATTGAGCGCTCTGCAGCAACCCAGCCGTGTCCCCCGGCCATGACACACCCGAGTTTATCTAGGGGGCAAGATGTGCTGGAAAGAGGCAGTCTGGGCTCTGCCCCATGGCAGCAGGTGACAGATGGGGTGCTTCTCCTAGAGCCCCCCGCCCCGTCCCCATCTGCCGGCAGGTCAGGCTTCTGCCATCTGCTGCTGGCCACGTGCCGGAGTCAGACCAGGTGTGGTAGGGAATGGCGTGACGGACAGGGCGCTTCCCCGTCTGTCTACCCAGAGCCAGGATGGGCCCATGGGGAAAGGCAGGGGGGAGTTGGTTCTCCAGCGGCTGGTGTGTGCTCAGAAATCAAACTCAGGCAGAACAAATACACAGGAGTGGTCAGAGTCTGCAGGCGAGTGGGAGCAGCAAGCGCCGGCATCGTGCACCCCTCGGCTGCTGGTGCAGAACTCGGGCCTCCCGGGGTGTCCTCAGGCGTCCGCTCTTTGCATGGCAGGCGCGTTCCCCTGACTCAGGAGCTGGGACCCACGGCGCTGCTCCGGGGCCCGGAAGCCCTGCTTCCTAGCCCAGGAGCTCTTCTCTGTCTTCCCGAGGGGAGAGGGGATCGCGATGGTCACTTGGCTCCAGAAAGGGAGGCTCTCTGCGCATGGTCTCACGCTGGAGGGCTGCAGCTCGATAGGGGAAGTGACAGAACTGAGCACCGTTCAGCCCTGGAAGGCAGCTCACAGCGCACACCCACAACGGGGCTTCTGTTCTGGCCTCTCTAATAAAGGCAGAGGTTGGCGCTCAGGGCGGGTAATTCATCCACCGGTACCTAGGAGCCCTCACGGAAGTAATTTGCCCTCCTTGGAACATATTTAGGAGGCGAGGTTCCTTCCAGACCAGCATGGCCTCCTCTGCACCATTCCCATGCTGGCTGGGGATGCTAGGGGTCGTGGTCCAAGGCACCTGGAGAGCACCAGGTTGCAGTAGGACCTTGTGGCAACACCCCCCAGTCGGCTGGAGATCTGCTTTCTCTCCCTCCAAAAACTTGTGGGGTGGCAGTGGAACCGTCTGCATTGGGCGGTGGTGAGCTGTCCCTCGTCGGAGGCGTTGAAGCAGGACTTTGATAGCGCTTCTGTGCGGGGTGCTGTATTGGCATCCTGCCTGCAGATCTCACTCAGCAGAGGGTGAACCAGAGGCCCTCCGCGTTCCCGGCCGTCTCTGAGATTCTGTGCCTGACTTGGGCAAGGTTGATGCCCCGGGTCCCAAAGAACCTTCGCTGGCCGAATGCTAACACGTCTGTCTGCTGCTTTTCATGCCAGTTTAACATTAATGCAGAACGACACCCTTTGGGGGAACTCGGCTACGTGAGCATTTAATGCCCATTTTAGAACTGCTCCGCCGCTGACTGATATGCTTCCTGGCATATGTCAAAGCGCAACTGCCTGTGAAGCCTCGGACGGGGCAGGTAACCTTTTGGGGTCGTAGGTATGCCCGGTCACTGGAGACACAGTCCCGGGCACTGCCACAACATGGCCGCCCTGGGAGGTACGGCAAGGGGCAAGGGACCTGTCCTGAAGACTAAGTACTGCGAGTCTGTGGTGGGCCCTGATCCGATGACCCTCCTCCTCAGCAATCCCAGCTGCCAGCCGCAAAGTTTCACAGCGGCGGCAGGCCTCGTTGGCTGCCGAGAAGGTTGGGTTGGCGCCCTTGGACGCCATGCTTGCCCAGCCACGGCCCAACCAGCTCGGACCCTGGTCTGCGGGCATCACTGCCTCCCCCTGCAGGCCCCCCCACCTGGCTCCGAAAGAGGGGCCCGTTTCTGTGTCCACCCCAGGTGGGCAGTCCATATGCTCCTTTTCTGCTGGCCAGCACTCGCTTTTTACTCCTCAGCTGCTCCTGAGGAAGGAGGTTGTACTTGCGTCAGCCTACATAACCCCCCCACACACAAAATGGGGCTTTCCAGATGTGCTGGACTGCAAATCCCATAGTCCCCCAGCTGGC